TGTCCAAGACCATCTGGACGCCCAAGGTTGGGGACCACTGCTCTAGAGCATTGTCCTCATAGGGGAGGGAGGGGGTGGATCTGATGCTGGCCAGTAGTTTCTGGGAGTTATAGACCAAACAAAAACCTTGTTCAAGCTCCAGAGATATCAGAGGCATAACATCATTGTTATAAAACTGCAGAATAACCCATAACTTATTTACCTTTTCATATAACAAGTCATGCTGGCCTATTATTCCAAAATGACATATGGACAGTCATAGTGTGGGATTTGGAGAGCCTTTTTAAGGGTTTTCTTTCAAAAAGCAACATTACACAGACAGAAAAAGAAAATATGTATTTTAAATTAAATCAAAGTGATTCATCACATCTAGGAGACATAATAAAAAATAGTTTCACTTCCTCTGATCCTCCACAGATGATCTGTGGAAGTGTTCAATTTCTGATATCCTGAAAGAGCTCAGGATACTGGAAATTGGCACTGGAAGGAGCTTCAAGGCTCTACAGTAGCTGAGTCCATTCCAAGCAACCACACTTGCTGGGAATGGATTAAACTGGAGCTGTTCACTCAGCACCAAAATTGTAGAACCCTCTGGCAAGCATTCAAAAAGATGTTGGTTGGGGCAAATTGGTCCACTCCAGCAATGTCCACATGTGGATGCCAGAAAAAAGGGTGAACCAATCCAACTCATCAATGACCCAAAGAGTGGAACTTCAAAAAGATGTTGGTTGGGGCAAATTGGTTCACTCCAGCAATGTTCTCATGTGGATGCCGGAAAAAAGGTTGAACCAACCCAACTCATCAATGACCCAGAGAGTGGAACAAATGCCCATGTGAACAGGCTCTTATCTCAAAGTGAAGGCGTTTTCTCTTGCAGGTCAACTGAGAAGCAATGGCAAAGTAGAAGATACCACAAGATCTAGGCAGATTTACTGTTATAAAAACCCTGAGAGATTTTTTAGAAAGATCTTTCCAGAAGGGCACATTGGTTAAGAAAATTATTTTGACATTAATTGGCAAACATAATTCCTTCTCCAGAACCAAAATGATTCATGATGACAGGTCAGAAATATTTTTTTTCTTAATGTGCTTTTCTAAATAGAGATAAGTGAGAATTCCATTCAGTTTGGCTTTCTACACATTTGCAAATGTCTTCATCCTCACTTTGAAAGAGATTCAATCCTTTTTTTAAAAAAATCTTCTAGTTTATGAATGTGGGATATTGTGCTTCTGCATCCACGATTCAATTCGCCAGGAAATGGCCCAATATTGTGTGCCATATTGTGCTCATATCGAGCCACCAAGTAATCAAAGTGCCTGGAAGAAATGTGTATTCCATTAACTGTGTGCACTCAAGTACATGTCTGAGCAGCTGGAAGGTATTGCATTCTTTATCACCAAGGATTTTGCAGGAGTTTGGAATGTGTTTGCCCCTTGCAACCTGGTTTACAGCACACCCAGCCATCTATATTGGGAAAGAAGTATCCACCATGTTCTTTAAAGGCCAATATTTTGTTATGCTCTAGAGTGGAGCACAACACATCGACAGTTTGAGAGAAGGCTAAAGGAAAGGTGCAGAGGTTCCCCATTTTGTGCATCTTCTCATATTGGGTGTGAAATTGATCACACAATGGAGAGGTGCTTACATGAGTTTCCTTTCACTCAGCATTTATGCAACAGGACAGTAGCTTAAGAAAATCTGAATGTGGGAGAAAGGAGTACTAACAGATTCACCCATCCAGCCAGAGGGCTTTGAGCAGTGAGCCCTTAAAAGTTTAGCTTGGAAGCTCTAAGTGTTCAGTGAATTACAGTCTCCACCTCTTTCTTTCTTCTGACAGTTGAAAATAGGATTTGACTTACAACGGCTCGCTTGAGAAACATCCCCAGAAGATCAAGGAAGCTCAAAGTGTGAAGAACTGATGTACATCCAGTGGAGATATGGCAACTCAAAGTTGACCAGTTGGGTTTCCTGTCTGAACAGGGATTTGAATCCAGTTCTTTTTTTTTTTCACTCTCTCGTGATCTGTTCACCTATCTTTGTGTAGGTTTAGTCATCCTGGCACCAACTAGATATTTTGAATTACAGTACCCATCATCCTTGACATTGGCTGCTCAGGGATTTGCAGCCCAAAGCACCTAGAAGGTAACAAGTTGCTTACCCACCACCTATGTGAAGACTTCCTATATAGGGGAGGAGAAATCTTTGGCTTTGGCTTTTTCCCCTCTACAGGCACAATAGAACATCATATTGATGTACATCAGCCAGATGTCCTTCTACCAGCTGTTCAATGGAGTTCAGCTCTGGCTTTTACACAGGAAGCTGGGTCACTTTCTGGGCTGCTCCTAAGTACATACACCTAAAATTAAGCCATGCTTTGTCTGTGCAAAAGGGTACAAAACTGTGTGCAAACTTTTGGGATCACTAACCATCAGCTAGCTGGATAGTTCAATGGTTTAGCTATGGAGCCAGAGGTTGAGAGTTTGGTTC